TTTACAAAAAAAAAAAATGCGATGAAACAAAGCCTTTATGGCCCGTTTGATAATTATTTTATTTATTATTTATTTTGTTTTGAAAAATTAAGTTTAGGAACATCATAACTTTCACATATTTGTTTTTTTTTTTTGTTATATGATTTTTAAGTATGTTTTCAAAATTTAAGCTAAATTTGAAAACCTAAAAGAAAGTAATTTTTAAAAATTTGTTTTGTTTTTGAAATTTTGTTAAAATTCAAATGTGTTTTTAAGAAAGATTAATGAGACAAGAAAGAAATTATAAGGAATCAAGTATCATTTTAAAACATAGAAAACTAAATGCAAGATAATTATCAAACATAACTTTAATTTTTAGATTTCTATTTTTGAAAATTAAACATTCCACCCACCGTTTCTTTACTTAAATTTTCATTAAAAGAACATATATTTAAAAAATTTAACTAAATTTCAAAAACAAAATTAGAAACAAGCTTATTTAAAAAAAATGGAAAACGCAAAAGAAAAAATTATTATCAACGTAATTCTATTATAATTAAAATTAAAAAAGGTTCTCCAAATGTTTAATAAGAGGGCCATAAATGGAGTCTAGTTTTTACCAAAATTGGAAGGAGTTAGTAATATTGAAAATGGAGGACATATAATAAAATGGAAATAAAAATAAATTAGACGAAAGGAATGATTAAATAAAAACAAAGAGAGAATTAATTGTTCCCTAATTGAGGTGCAAATCGACCAAAACAAAATGAGTGCTTTAATTTAAATCAATTAATTAACAAGAGACATTAAGGACATCGACCCGTGATTAATCTTCATCAATTAATTCTAATTCCACTTCATATTCTATAAAGTCATATGTAATTCCAAATTAAACCCTAACTTAGAGAGACAAAAGAGAGAAGTGGTGGAACCCATAATTTGGATTAATGATAATAAGGAGTGACTAATGAGAAATAAATGTACAATTAGTGGGTCATTAATGATGATAATTAATGATTAAAAAGGGGGTTTGGCCATTAATGAAACATTCTCAAGAAGGCATGCAAGACCATGCATTGCTGGAGAAAACATCAACAACACCCACAAAAACATATCAATTAGGGTTTTGACTTTTGACTTTTGACCTTTTTTTTTCTTTCTAATTTTGTTTTGTTTTAATCATTTTATGATATCTTTTTCTTTTCTTTCCTATGGCCATGGCCATGGGGACCAAACAAAAAAGAAAACAGTGCTGACATTTGCTTGATCATGTTTTGGGTGACATAGGAGCTGCTAGAGAGTTTTATTAGCATTATTCACTTTTGTTCTAATCTGATGTTTTTTTTGCCCACCATTTCTAATCATTTTTATATTATGTAGCTAAATCTCTGTCTAAAAATAAAAAAAAAAAATAATTAAAAAAGCTATTGTTACTCTTTAATTATAACAACCGTTAATATGTTGAATTCTATAGAACTTCGAAGATCGGCTTCCGATGAACTCGCACGAACTATAAAGGAGTGAGCCACACGATGAGAGGCCTGCACATAGGGAACAAACACTCCGAAGCTCAAGTTAGTGACGGTTCGAGCTCAGTAAGTCAACCTAAGACATAATAACGTATCTAAGTTGAAGGAATGAAACCCCTTTTATAGGCGAAAATGGGAGGACAAGTTCATTTATAGTCATTCCGATAGAATATTGGGGCGGTTACGGACTGTCAGACTTGAGGTCAGTACTTCTTCAGATCGGTTGAATGAAATTTGAGAGATTTTGAGATTGAGCTGATCTCAGCTCGATTCTGGAGGTAGATCGACCTTCTCCTTTCAGGTGAATAAGCCTAACTGGTTTTTTCGAGCGCTAAGCTGATTGGTCCACATGTCATGTTGAATTTAGAAGAAAAGTCCATAAACATTAAAATTTTTAGTTCATTTTTGGTTTGCTCTATATATATATATATATATATATATATATATATATATTCTATTGAGAGGATGATTTATCTAAAAGATAAAAAAAAAATTGAGAGCTGGTTGATAATTAAACGTTTGATAATAAATTTGTTTTTAATTAGTAACAAATTAAGTTTAGCAATCCATTGATTAATTAAGTTGTTAGCCAAATCAACTTCAAATTAAACTCTATGTTGTGGATCATAAAATGCATTATATTAAGGAAGCACAACCTTCTCTCTCTCTCTCTCTCTCTCTCTCTCTCTCTCTCTCTCTCTCTCTCTCTCAATGTGACAGAATATTTGAGGTCCAAGTAAGAATCTAATTAATATGCTCATCTATGGAGGACCCCACTTCAAAATACACATCATTAGGTCTCTTAAAGCATTGCTTAATTAAACTTTTTTGGGTAATCTTAGGTACTAATGTATTCATTTAAACCTTGCTTTGGAGATTATTATATATACCTTAATTTACTCCAACCCCACTTTAATTACTCTCTCATACTTCAAAATTTCATTCTTAAATAAAAATTTTAAATTAATTACTGAATTTAGTGATGACTTTGGGTAGGTTAGTTTTAATTTAATCAAATTTAGCATATAGTATGAAAGTTTGTGTTTTAGTTGGGTTAGTGAGAAAATGATAGAATAATAGAGAAAAAAGCAATTTGAAGATCCTCAAGATTATAAGAAGCATCAGGAAAGATATTGTAGGCCAGAGGGGGCAATTGGGAAATAAAATATTTCAAGGTAAAAATAAATAAATAAATAAAAATAGTGTGTGGAAGTGGGAGGAAAGAAGAAACTTTTCTTTTCAAGCCTTTCAAGTTGGCATATGCTTAAATTTTGATATGAATTTCATTAACACACACAAAAAAAAAAAAAAAAGTTTCATTTTCAAATTGAGAAAAGAAGGGAGAATCTCTCTATATTCAAAACAAATCCCTTTTTTCTTGCTTTTTTTTTTCTACCTTTCTTAATAAATAAATATTTTCATTCAAAGCAGAATCACAAAATAGACTTTGGTTGCAAGAGAATACAATACCATTCCATTGTTTTTAAATTCATCTCAAAATATTTGGTTTTGAATTCCGTCAATGTAAGAAAAAATTAGAAAAGTATTTTTCTTTCGGTAACATTACGAGTGTGAGAGTAAAAAATTGAATTTTGAACTGTACTGTAGGAGAAGTTACATTAATCAGTTAAGCTAGGCTCAAATACGACATAATTTTTCTTTTAATTTTAGTGTTCCTCTTGCCCATATTTTTGACTGAAAATTATTAGATGAATGAATGAAATGTTATCTCAAAAGTTTGAAAAAGTAGCCCAATGACGAATGAAGAATAATACCCAATTGAAAAAGCAGGCCAGTGTTGGGCTCAAACTCAAAGGGCTTGGGCTCAATGGTTGGATTCATAACTAACAAACAGAATTTGGGCCCTATAGAAGGCAAGGCCCAATTTTAGACTTCCAAGACATTTGCAAGAGTGTCCAGAAAGTGCGAATCCATTCCAATTAAGTAAGTTTCAATTTTATTTTGTCACTTTGTGTATACCTGTGCCATATAATTGGCTATTCAATCGATCACTCAAAATTTATAACTTTCGATAAAAGGGAAAAAAAAATTATATATAAATAGTCATTTTTCTCTAAAGTTCTATTAATTTTGTAATGGACATGTTTTATAGTTCTTCGAACCCATGAGAACTTGTTTTTTAATCATTCTTGCAAATAAAAATCTATTAGAAAGTAAAAATTATAAACACTCAAATCAAATGTAAAGTAATAGTAATGATTGCCAAGTTTAAGATGAAATTTAAATAAAAATACATACACAATGTCAAGTTTAGCTGTAACATTTGATTTTTTTTAGTGTTTAATTAACTAATTTTGTATAGCAGCGACATATTTTATTGGTCAAGAAAAGTATTACATATTGTGTTATGTTTAACCTCAAGTTAAGACATTATAAAGTTTGACCAAAATGTTAATGAATCAAAATCCTCGTCTTACCTAACCCTAGGTATGGTATAACTCTAAAAAAATTATTAAATTAAAATTTGGGTTAATTCCAACTAAGTTATTAAAATGGTACGAGGAAAGAAAAAATTCAATTTTTACCTCTGCACATGCACATGACATGATTAGTCAATATTTGAACCAAAAAATTGTATTTCATCACATTGAATCTGACAGTTAATAACATTACAACTTCGACCTTTTTCTCAACTTCTCTACATTCGTCATTTGAGTTCAACATAAGAAATAAGTTTTTAAAATCTCCTAAAATTACTAATTTCAACACACAAACTAATCTCTTACAAATCCATGCACAAAATTAAGTTTGGGTAAATCAATAAACAAGATCCACCATAAAACTTACAAATTTCAATACAAAAATCTAGCTCTGCAGTTCTCTTTGTTTTTTAACCCACCAACTTCCTATCAGACTTTGTTTCCCCTAGTCCACCGCGAATGGACATGAGACTATTTGTTAAATAAATTTTAAAATAAAAGCTTAACATAGACAAAAATTGTGATGGGTGATTTCTCCATCATTCACGATACCACTCACTATACGTTACGAATTTTGATGATGGGATCAGTAGTGAAATATCCGCTCGAGCCAAATGAAAGATTTGTTGGTATGAACCAATGAAAATTATAATGGCCCTCCCTTTATTAGGATGAACCAATGCTTGTTATGGTTAACAACTGATTCTCCAACATATCGTAATCATTATTTAACCGTTATTGGAAGCTCAACCTCTACCAATAGATCGAATTTGTACTACGGATTCCTCATTCATCACTTACCAAAGGTTCCAGCTTCGCACTACACAATAAAAACACAAAGTTGATGATAGAAATTGATTCCTCCCAATTTCATTGAGTAAAAGATGAAATTTTTCCAAATTATTCCACGTTCTCTCTAACTTTTAATTAGGGTTTCTCTCCCTCCCTCTGTGTCACCAGTCAACATGTCCTATATCTATTTATCAGCTATTTTCCAGACAAGAATCAAAATCCGTACAAATAAATACTCAGAAATCAAAACTATCCCCAAGAACCAAAAGAAAGAATCATCTTGCTTCATATCTCCATCAAATTCAAATCCAAATTCACAATTTTCTTTGACATCCTCCACAAAAAAAGAATAAAAAAATCAATCAGAGGTAGACCAAACTTTAAAAAAAAATCTCAAATCTTAGAGGGCTGTGAAAATGGAGAAGGAATATCCTCAGGATTCCTCCCAGGCTTAACCCATCTCCCATACCCATTTTTGACCAGCCCCTTATGCGGCAACTGGTACCAAAACTCCGGTATCCTCAGCTCCTCCACCAGCATATCACTCCCCTTATTCACCAGCGCCACGTCCCTCCGCGAATTCCACCGGAACTTCCCCTTCCCCCTCACAAACCCATCCACCAAATGCA